ACGAACCACCTAAAGTCCAAATAAATCACGTTGCAGATATTATACAAATCTTAACAAAAACGCTGTTAAACTTCTGAAACATTCTTTACAAATCTTAACAAAAACGCCTGCAGTTCTAAAAGCCACCACTTTGTATGTTTCGTGGGCCGTAATTACTGGCCCACCCGAAGTCAGAGTCACGTGTGGCCTGATAAGCAGTGGAAGCTTCAACTCCAAACTTATGTCTACTTTTTTTCCCCTGTTTGATTAGAAACTTTTATCTTACTTAAGAATATTTAGAAATATTCACAATTCATGCGGTCCGAGGAAAGGAATGTGCGACGATCACATCACATTCACCGCTTGCTTAAAATAGTAAGCATTTAGCGTGAATGATTCATTAAGTTCTGAGGTTCTCTCCATAAGATTTTTTTCTCGCCAGGAATTCTATTACTAGCTTGGTGAAAATGTGTAATGATCATTGTCTACTGAATATTTAAATCCTCACGTACGTACTGCACTTGTTAAAGAGGATAATTAGTACTTAGTGCAGTCATTAGTGTTAGCTTGATTCGATCATGGGTGACCAAATCAACCATTATTTCTCTGTTGAGAAGAACGTGGAAACGTGGCATCAGTTGTTGAGAGAATCTTTCAAGGGGGCGGATCTGAGGGGGCTCCGGTAATGGGTAAGTGAGTTTCTTCTCTTGTTTTGTTGTGATTTCTAAAGGAGAATGGTCTTCCTTTTATATGGGCTAAATCCATCATCTCTACCCCCTCAGAACCGCCCCCATGAGAGATTTTCTCTCAACAACCCATGCCACGTTTTCACATTCTTCTCAACAGAGAAACAATGGTTGATTTGGTCACCCTTGACCGAATCGAGCTAACATCTCCCACTTGAGTAAATTAACCAAGTGACGTACCTCCCACTATCCGTGAGATCTAATGTTTTTGCTTATCATTACTCCCACTATCCGTAGAGAGTAACTCTTATTTTATTATTCATGAAATTTTACTTGGACTTATTTATTTCTAAGTCCCATCAAACTTACATGTTTGATAAAAGATTTCGCTGATATTTCTTTTGTCAAAGAATCAACAATCATATCTGTAGTAGGGATATAAGTCCATTTGACTTTTTTTTCTACAATATCTCGAATATACTGATACTGGATCTCAATATGTTTTTCTTTGGAGCTATTCGTATCACTATTGATTAAGCTAATTGCTGCTTGATTATCACAATAAATATCAATAGGTCCTTCTAACAAATTAAGATCGAGATCAATCAAAAACCGTCTTATCCAGACAGCATGTGTAGTTACCATACTGCAAGCTATATATTCAGCTTCTTACGTATATCTAGCAACACATCCATGTTTCTTGCTACTCCAAGAAACAGCTCCTCCACCAAAGATGAATAAGTGTCCCGAAGTGGACTTTTCATCATCTTTATCACCTCCAAAATCAACATCGGAATAGCCGAGGAGTTCAAGCGAATTTGTTTGATAAACTAATCTATGAGTCAATATACCTCTGATATACTTCATAATCCTTTTAACAACTTCCAAATGTGCTGGTCCTGGATTACTTTGATATCGACTTACTAGACTCACAACATAAGCTATATCAGGTCTGATGCACAACATTGCATATATCAAGCTAATTGCTTGAGCATAAGGAACATCTAATGGTTTCTATCCCTCTCCAGGGTTTGCTCTTTACATAATCTTTTTCCCATAACCAACGGAGTTAGCGTCGGATTAGAATTTTTCATTCTAAACCTTTTAAGAATTGATCTTAAATATTTTTCTTGGTTTAAACTTAGCATTCTAGACTTTTTATCTCGAATTATTTGAATTCCAAGAATATATGATGCATCTCCCATGTCTTTCATCTCAAACTTTTCGCTGAGATCTGCCTTGATTTTATTCAGCATTTCTATATCATTTCCAACGAGCAATATATCATCCACATATAAGGATAGTATGATAAATTTGTTCCCACTTTTCAAGACATATACACAATTATCTAATTTATTTTGACTAAAACCAAGTTTTGTAACTAAAATTTGAAATACTATTGTCTAGAAGATTGTTTTAAGCCATATAGAGATTTTATTAATTTGTAAATTTTATAATCCTGTTCTTTCATCTGAAAATCTTCAGGTTGTTGCATATATATCGTTTTCTTCAACTCTCCGTTAAGGAATGCAGTTTTAACATCTATTTAAAATAACTTCAAATCAGGATATGCAACAATAGCCAAAATAATTCTAATGGATACAAAATTAGCTACAGGAGAATGTCTCCTGAAAATCTATTACTGTCTTCTGGTTATAACCCTTGATAACTAACCGTGCTTTAAATTTATCAATAGATCCATCAACACGATATTTCTTTTTGAACACCCATTTGCATCCTATAGTTTTTCTATTTTCCGGTAGATCACATAACTCTCATACCTTATTCTTTTCTATAGAATCAAGTTCTTCTCTCATAGATTCTAGCCATAAAGCTGATTCATGTGATTTCATCGCATCAGAAAAGGTTAAGGGATCTTGTTCTATATTTGTATCTATCGAGAAACATGATGGCTCACATGAATATAAATAGTAATCATCCATCCATGAAGGTTGTGTTCTTGGCCTCTTGTTGCCTACAACCTGTTGATTAGGTATATTATTTTTTATAGGTATTTCATTATTTTTAAGGTTAGGTTCATTCACAGGTTCATTCACAATATCAGGGTCATTAATGGGAACAACACTGTAATAATAATCATCTATTACAGTTAGAGGTTCCGTTTCCTCACGAACTTGTTCCTCTTCCTCTAGATTCTCTAGAAATGTAGCATCTCTGTTTTCAATGACTCCTTTTTTTATTGTAGAACTTATAATCTTTTGACTTTTCTGAATACCCTATGAATCTATACTTTATTGTTTTAAAATCCAACTTATCTCTAAGTTGATATGAATGAGAACATATGCTATAGATCCCCACTTTCTGAGATGACTCAAATTAGGTTTCCTCCATTCCATAATTCATAAGGTGTAGATGCAACTGATTTGGTGAGAATTCTATTTAGAATGTAGTTTACAGTTAATAATGCTTCTTCCCAAAAGTTTTTAGAGACTAGAATGAGACAACATGCATCTAACTACATTCAACAATGTTCTGTTCTTTCTTTCAGTAACACCATTCTGTTGTGGCGTATACGACATTGTTGTATGTCTTTTAATTTCATGCTGAATACAATAACTTTTAAATTCTTTAGAGTTATATTCCCCACCTCTATTAGTTCTCAAAATTTTGATTTTTATTCTAAGTTGGTTTTCAACTTCTGTCTTATATTTCATAAAGCAGTCAAAAGCTTCTAATTTTCTAGATATGAGATAGACATGTGTAAACTTAGAATAATCATCTATAAAAGTAATAAAATATTCTTTATTATTATGAGTTTTGACACTTAGGGGATCACAAATATCCGAGTGTATCAACCCTAAAAGTTTATTAGCCTTTTGTCCGTCAATAAAAGGTTTTCTAGTCATTTTACCAGTTAAACAATGTTCACATGGTGGCAATTGAACATTAGATAATGTAGGAAGTAAGTTCATTCTGATAATTTCTTTTATTTTTAAAATACTAACATGTCCTAGTTTAGAATGCCACAATTCAGATTCAGAAATATAACATGATAAGTAGTTCAAATTTGAAATTTTATTATCAGAATTATTACAAACTACTGGAAGAATGCTTAATTTATGTTCGTGCACATATTTTCCCATAGCGTACACTTTATTATTCTTACTTATAGAAATCATGTTATTATAAAACATAACTTTCAGTGCTTTCTTCATCAAGCTGGGAACATAGATCAGATTGCCCGAATTCCTGGCGTATAAAACACATCTTTGGGGACAAAAATATTGTCCCCAAGATACAATCTATACGAACCAATACCTTCTACATCGAGATAGGTATTATTTTCCATATAGATTCTATGTTCTACTTTCTTCAGCACAGTGAATTCTATGAATCTTTTTTTGTCCTTTGTGATATGCCTAGTCGCACTGGAGTCGATCTACCAACCGTTGATATCCGTCATCACAGCATTACATTCTGTCACGCCGACGAATTCTCTTTTGCTAGTACCCCTTGTTCTGAATGCTTATAGTCTCCCTTATTCTTCTGCTTTGCACCTTGTGGACAGTTAGGTTTGAAATGCCCGAACTTTCCACAATTATAGTAGGTTCTGCGGGGTACTTTTTTTCTCTTGAATTGTTATGATTTCGGTCCTCGCGGTTGTCATTTACTAGGATCAGGGTTTTTATAGCTTCCAACATTATGCCTCTGACGGACATAATTCAGCTTTTGCTGCACCATATTCAGTTTTGGTTGTTTCTTACTAGCTATTAAGTCTTGTTCTATCGCTAGGTGCATAAGAAGATCAGTGACAGACTTAATGGTAGGATTCATTATTAATGTGGTAGCAGCCACAACAAGAAAAGGGGGTAGATTATTCAAAATGGTTGTCACTTGCATTCTTTTCGGGATTTCGGTCCCAGCAGTGGATAAGTTCTTAACCATGATAATTATTTTATTTATATGCTCTACGACATTGTCTCCCTCTTGCATACGACAAGAATTATAATTATGCAAGAGGAGTTGAATGTTAACTTCAGAAGCAGTGTCATATTTTTCTTTTATTGCATTCCACATGTCCATGGAAAGTTTTATAAGTTTCAAAAACTTTGATTAAGTTATCTTCCATGAACATGAGTATAAGACTTTTCGTCTTTTTATCTTTCGACTTTCACTATTCAAACCTTTTCTTTTCTTCAGGTATAGATTTATCAGTAAGGGTTAGAGCAGTGGTTTCGATTACATCATCAATATTATCATGGATAAGAGCATATCTTATTTTTCTATGTCACATATCATAATTACTGTCATTAAATTTGTTAATTTTTCCTAGTTCTGATAGAACGAGTTTACTAGCCATTTGGTAAAGAACTAAAACTAAATTCAATTTTAAAGTATGTATAAGGTTGATATTTTGACAATTGTACTAAAATATAATAAAGTTCAATAAATAAATTAATTAAAATGAACCTGACTGTTCCGAGTTGATGAAAGAGGCTCCAATTTAAGCGAGATTGTCACTTAGTTGTGTTGAATGGATCAGTACTTGTCTGACCGGATTTTGGAGAAAATCCACCATGTGAAGAATCTGAGACTTCTACTGGTATAATACTCCTCACGCTCAATCTGAGAGTTCAAACCCAACTGCAACTACAAGGCCCAACTACAACGCCCAAGTTTTTTTTTAAGCAGAGAAGATGTTAGTAGTTCAATGAGTATCTAACTTGTCATGGTTATTTGATCACCAGGCCCAAACACAAAAGGCCCAACTACTTCTCTCCTTGATCACTCTGTTAAGAAAAATCCCGATCTCAAGCTAGGGTTGAGGACCGAAAATTGCAAGGGGCGGCGGAACTATCTTTCTTCCTCGATCTAAATCAAAGAGCTCGCCGAGGATGGAGACTCCGGCGTCGAGGTCAATCGTCGTCGCGGTTCAAGGGCGAAGGGCGGACAAGCTCGTTGTCGCCGTCGTCGATCGCAACAGCAGAATCGTCGTCGTCGTCGTCGAACGTCGCAGCCCTTTAAGCAACAAACATCGAATACTTTAGAAATTAAGGGTTGGGGCCCACTCTCCCATGAAAAACCATGAAGGGCTGCTGGGCTGGATTCCTATTAATTCGCTCTTTTCATAACAAACCGATCAACGGCCACGGCCACTAACGGCCTCGTGCACGCGATAACCGTCAAACTACTAGTGGGCCCAATCAATGGTTGCGATTCGCCACGCTGCTCGAGGCTATCTCCTCCATCAATCAAAGGAGGGGGAAAAGAACCCAAAATTCCAAGAATCTCCATTAAGAAAGCAGAGCTCAGCCATGGAAGGAGGAGGCCAAGGTGACGAGGGTTCATAAATCGAGAATCCTAACGAAGCAGCAGACGAAACCTGATCATCGCTCAGTTCTCAGACAAATCAGGAGAGCACCAAAACTGGTGAGCACTCATTTCTACTGTTTTTTTTTTTTTTCGCCGTTAGCACTCCCATTTTCGGTCCACTTACTGTATTCGCAATCTTTTAGAGCTCAAGATCAAGAAGAAGTCGTTACTGTGATCTATGCTTCAGTTTCTTGAGTAATTTTTTATTAATTCGTGCGATCTGTTTGTTCTCATGGAGAAGTTGATGCTATGATCGATATATGTTTCTTTCTTTTTCTTTGATATTCATTCTTGATTCACGTTCTTGATTGACCAAAGAAGCATCACGTCCACTTCAATTTCTTTTGTAATTCGTTTTTAATTAATATTTACAATTAATTACGTCCTGATGTAGTGGCAATCACATAGTTGTTGTCATTGTTGTTGTTTGTAACACATTAGGGGAGAGATCTTGTCCGAAAATGTAATTGCAATCGTTTAGGATTCGAGAAGAAGTCGTTATTATGAACTGTGTTTCTTTCTTTTTCTTTAATATTTTTTCTTGATTCACTTTTCTGATGGAACAGAGCAGTAACACATTAGGGGAAGTGGTTAGCGCATTCTGATATATTTCAAAATTTAATGTAATTTTTACAAATATCAGGTGCGATAACTCATTACAAGATCCAGATCATACATTTTTAATTCTTGTTATGATTGTTTTGTTTTTAAATGTTTTTTTATCATTCATTACAAATTTTCTGGTCAGCATTATATGTTTCTTTCTTTTTCTTTGATGTCCGTTCTCGATTCCATTTTTTGATAAACTAAAGCAGCCACCACATTTATTTTTATTATGAATTCTGGTAATTATGTTTTACAATTATCGGATATTTAGAGTGGCAACCACATTTTGTTGTTGTTGTTGTTGTTGTTGTTGTTTGTATTAAATTTTCAATCCATTTATTTTTATTATGAGTTATTGTTAGGTAGAGAATACATTTTGTCTTCAGGTGTATTTGCAAGCTTAATTTGGGATCGAAGAGAAGTTGATATCTGTTCCTGATTCACTTCTTCAATAAATCATATCAGCACTGAGCGTGAATTCTAATCCATTTCAATTTCCTATGTATTTTTTAATTAATTTTACAACTATTACTTACAGAGTAGCACTACAAGGATCTGATAACAATTTCTTTTTTGAATGTTTTTTCAGTGCATTAGTTCTTATTACATGTACTTTGTTAGTTAGGGAATAGATTTTGTATGGAATTGCATTTGCAATCTTTATGATCTATGTTTTCTTCCCCTTTTTTCTTTTAATATCTGCATTCTTGATTCACATTACTGCAAAGTAAAGTTTAGATTGTTCGTACAAATACTTCGTTTACCTGTTTCTTTCCCGTCTTGGCTAGGAACTACTTTCACTGCCATTGTGTACATCGTAACCGCATTGATTGGATCTGGGGTTTTATCACTGGCATGGAGTCTGGCTCAGTTGGGTTGGATTGCTGGCATTGCTTTCATGCTTTTCATTGCTGGACTCGCACATTTCCAGTCTATGGTGCTTGCTAATTGCTACGGATCATCATCAAACTGGCATGATGCCAACCATCGTCCTATTCGTACATACATGGATACTGTGAGGGAAAATTCAGGTAAAAATTACCCGGTTAGATAGTTTCTAAGGAAGTATGTGTTAATAACGTATCCAAATATCGAGAAAACTAGCTAGACATAGCAGTTTTAAGAAATTTTTGCTGCATTATTCCTCATGAGGGTAATTTATGTAAAAAAAAAACTCATTCTATAGAAATATAATCAAAGAACAAACGTCATGTGTACTCTCACAGTTCTTTGTGTAGGTGTGAAGGCTGCCTGGGTTTGTGTGCGCATTCAGCAAACGTACATGTTTGGGACTGCAATAGCTTGCAACATTACATCTGCTGCTAGCATGAGGTATTATGCTTTGAATACCCCCTCTCCTTCTCTACTCATTAAAGGTTTTAAAAAAACTCATTGTATGTTTTAGCTCGTCTTTCATGAGTAACAATGTCCACGATCATAATGTTAGATTAAACGGTTACATTCTGAATCAGAATTTCATTTATTCTGTCAGAAGTTATTCACTTTCAAGACTTAACTTCTATGATCATGCATTGTTCCGTACATATTTTTTCCATTTATTTTGATTTTTGCTAATAGACATTACTTAATGTTACTGCTTACAAGTTGCTATAAAGTTATTTCAATTCTCTATAAATTTGTGCTGTGATTATCTAATTCTCTTTTAAATAAAGAGATTATGTTGATTTTAGTCTAATTAAACATGAAAAAGAAAGAGAATGAAAAGTTTTTTTCCCCTCTTGCTTGTTCCGCATGCAGCGAATTATGGAAATCTTTTTGGTTTCCAATCAAATGGAGTTCCTCCCTCCTGGTGTTTGGAGCTGCTCAGATAATTCTGTCATACACAGTATTTTCATAACACGAGAATCTTAACCTATGTTCTGCAATCATGTCCATCTTATACACGTTCATTGGACTTGCTCTCAGCTCTCTGGCCGCATTCAAAGTGATAGGTAAGTAGAAGCTCAGAAATGCCTTTGCTTTTGAAATCAAAGGTTGAGATGTGAATAACCAATCTCAGATAGATGTTCGAAGTTAATCATTGCAACTTTTGATGATGTGAAGAGAATGAATAATATAATAAATAGATAAATGATCAACTAGGAAATTTGTGGATATAAAATTATTGCAGATATTAAGAAAAGAAAATGTTGAACTGTTTGTAAGCAGCATAAGCCCATCTGGGGAAGAAATGTCTGTGTTTACCTCATAAGATTGTTTGTGCAGATGTTTCAGCAAATAGAAAGATACCTGTACGAAGATTTGGTGGGATTTATATGGATTCGTCATTTCCAAAAGTGTGGCTGATTTTTCAAGAACTTGGGTATATACTATTTGCCTATCCGGTCACCACAATTCTATTCAACATACAGGTAAATGCTTGCAATTTAGAAACTACAATAGGCATTGATGATTCCAAAACTTCACAAATAGGAACCCAATCTGAAACTTGGTTGCCTTGTTTGAGTTAAGGATAGGCTTATCCCACCGGAGGACTTCAGAATGAAGAGAGCATCAACAATCTCCCTTAGCTTCACCACATTTTGCTACCTTCTTTCTTCATGTTTGGGATATGCTGCCTTTGGAAAAGACACAAAAAGGAACATTCTTGCTAAATTTGGTTCCATGAAGCCTAACTGACTGATTCAGTTGGCCAACGTTTGCATTGTCATTCACCTGACGGGAGTGTACCAGGTATATATAAATTTAAAATTTCAATTTACTTGCATTTGTATTCCTTGGTCGTTATAAATCCTCTACGTACGTTCGTGGTTGTAGAGAAATCCTACAAATTAGTTGTGTTGATATTTATTTGTATGGATCGTTAGAAAAGAAATTACGGGTCTTTTGGCTAAAAATTCCTTTCATGGTTTATTAGATGTTAAGCCAGACAATATTTGCATGTATAGAGGGATTGCTACGTGAATATTACCCCACCAGTGAATTCATAACCAGGTCACACATTATCATTCTGCACTCCTTCAGAACTCTATATGTGGCTGTGACAATCGGGATTGCGATAGCGTTGCCAGACATCAATGCGATATTGGGAGTGGTGGGTTCCTTCAGCTATTGGGTCCTCGCCATATACTTCCCTTTCCAGATTTACTTAAAAGGAATAGAGAAATTAAGCCTTTTCCCACAGTAAAAACATTGATCCTTACCAAAATGAGCTTTCTAGAGATTCACATAAATTCTCTTTGAATGAATCTTCTCTCATTTTATTAGTTTTCCTTCTACAAATTGCTTCATCAGCTATACTTGTGTACATACAATCTTCTCTCATTTTATTAGTTTTCTTTGTACAAATCGCTTCACCAATTGTACTTGTCTACATACAATCAACTCTTAAATTCTGAGACAACCCATCTACTGGAATTCTGAGACAACCCATCTAAACCCAATACAGAACCTCAACGTATTTTGCTCTACACAGAATCTCCCTATGCAGCACAACAGTAAAATGTCTCCATTTACAAGTTCTGCAGCAAGAAAAAAGAAAAAATCATAGGGATCCTGCAATTGATCCAACAAGAGTAAACAAGCACAAAAGCAAGATTGCACCGCTGAGAATCCAAAGCGCACCCCATTTTCTGGTCCAAGCTTCTACGTTCCCTTGCCTTAAGTAAATCTGGTAAGGGAAATATTTGGCGAGGACCCAGTAGCTGAAGGAACCCACCACTCTCAATATCGCATTGATGTCTGGAAACGATATTGCAATCCTGATTGTCGCAGCCACATGTAGAGTTCTGAAGGAGTGCAGAATGATAATGTGTGACCTGGTTATGAATTCACTTGTGGGGTAATATTCACGTAGCAATCCCTCTATACATGCAAATATTGTCTGGCTTAACATCTGATAAACCATGAAAGGAATTTTTAGCCAAAAGACCCGTAATTTCTTTTCTAACGATCCATACAAATAAATATCGACACAACTAATTTGTAGGATTTCTCTACAACCACGAACGTACGTAGAGGATTTATAACGACCAAGGAATACAAATGCAAGTAAATAGAAATTTTAAATTTATATATACCTGGTACACTCCCGTCAGGTGAATGACAATGCAAACGTTGGCCAACTGAAATTTTAAATTTATATATACCTGGTACACTCCCGTCAGGTGAATGACAATGCAAACGTTGGCCAACTGAATCAGTCAGTTAGGCTTCATGGAACCAAATTTAGCAAGAATGTTCCTTTTTGTGTCTTTTCCGAAGGCAACATATCCCAAACATGAAGAAAGAAGGTAGCAAAATGTGGTGAAGCTAAGGGAGATTGTTGATGCTCTCATTCTGAAGTCCTCCGGTGAGATAAGCCTATCCTTAACTCAAACAAGACAACCAAGTTTCAGATTGGGTTCCTATTTGTGAAGTTTTGGAATCATCAATGCCTATTGTAGTTTCTAAATTGCAAGCATTTACCTGTATGTTGAATAGAATTGTGGTGACCGGATAGGCAAATAGTATATACCCAAGTCCTTGAAAAACCAGCCACACTTTTGGAGATGACGAATCCATATAAATCCCACCAAATCTTCGTACAGGTATCTTTCTATTTGCTGAAACATCTGCACAAACAATCTTATGAGGTAAACACAGACATTTCTTCCCCAGATGGGCTTATGCTGCTTACAAACAGTTCAACATTTTCTTTTCTTAATATCAGCAATAATTTTATATCCACAAATTTCCTAGTTGATCATTTATCTATTTATTATATTATTCATTCTCTTCACATCATCAAAAGTTGCAATGATTAACTTCGAACATCTATCTGAGATTGGTTATTCACATCTCAACCTTTGATTTCAAAAGCAAAGGCATTTCTGAGCTTCTACTTACCTATCACTTTGAATGCGGCCAGAGAGCTGAGAGCAAGTCCAATGAACGTGTATAAGATGGACATGATTGCAGCGACATAGGTTAAGATTCTCGTGTTATGAAAATATTGTGTATGACAGAATTATCTGAGCAGCTCCAAACACCAGGAGGGAGGAACTCCATTTGATTGGAAACCAAAAAGATTTCCATAATTCGCTGCATGCGGAACAAGCAAGAGGAAAAAAAAAACTTTTCATTCTTTTTCATGTTTAATTAGACTAGAATCAGCATAATCTCTTTATTTAAAAGAGAATTAGATAATCACAGCACAAATTTATAGAGAATTGAAATAACTTTATAGCAACTTGTAAGCAGTAACATTAAGTAATGTCTATTAGCAAAAATCAAAATAAATGGAAAAAATATGTACGGAACAATGCATGATCATAGAAGTTAAATCTTGAAAGTGAATGACTTCTGACAGAATAAATGAAATTCTGATTCAGAATGTAACCGTTTAATCTAATATTATAATCGTGGACATTGTTACTCATGAAAGACGAGCTAAAACATACAATGAGTTTTTTTAAAACCTTTAATGAATCGTGGACATTGTTACTCATGAAAGACGAGCTAAAACATACAATGAGTTTTTTTAAAACCTTTAATGAGTAGAGAAGGAGAGGGGGTATTCAAAGCATAATACCTCATGCTAGCAGCAGATGTAATGTTGCAAGCTATTGCAGTCCCAAACATGTACGTCTGCTGAATGCGCACACAAACCCAGGCAGCCTTCACACCTACACAAAGAACTGTGAGAGTACAGAGAGTACACATGGCGTTTGTTCTTTGATTATATTTCTATAGAATGAGTTTTTTTTTTACATAAATTACCCTCATGAGGAATAATGCAGCAAAAATTTCTTAAAACTGCTATGTCTAGCTAGTTTTCTCGTTATTTGGATACGTTATTAACACATACTTCCTTAGAAACTATCTAATCGGGTAATTTTACCTGAATTTTCCCTCACAGTATCCATGTATGTACGAATAGGACGATGGTTGGCATCATGCCAGTTTGATGATGATCCGTAGCAATTAGCAAGCACCATAGACTGGAAATGTGTGAGTCCAGCAATGAAAAGCATGAAAGCAATGCCAGCAATCCAACCCAACTGAGCCAGACTCCATGCCAGTGATAAAACCCCAGATCCAATCAATGCGGTTACGATGTACACAATGGCAGTGAAAGTAGTTCCTAGCCAAGACAGGGGAAAGAAACAGGTAAACGAAGTATTTGTACGAACAATCTAAACTTTACTTTGCAGTAATGTGAATCAAGAATGCTGATATTAAAAGAAAAAAGGGGAAGAAAACATAGATCATAAAGATTAGCAGATGATAAACCATGAAAGGAATTTTTAGCCAAAAGACCCGTAATTTCTTTTCTAACGATCCATACATAGAACCTCAACGTATTTTGCTCTACACAAAATCTCCCTATGCAGCACAACAGTAAAATGTCTCCATTTACAAGTTCTGCATCAAGAAAAAAGAAAAAATCAAAGGGATCCTGCAATTGATCCAACAAGAGTAAACAAGCACAAAAGCAAGATTGCACCGCTGAGAATCCGAAGCGCACCCTATTTTCTGGTCCAAGCTTCTACGTTCCCTTGCCTTAAGTAAATCTGGAAAGGGAAATATTTGGCGAGGACCCAGTAGCTGAAGGAACCCACCACTCTCAATATCGCATTGATGTCTGGAAACGCTATCGCAATCCTGATTGTCGCAGCCACATGTAGAGTTCTGAAGGAGTGCAGAATGATAATGTGTGACCTGGTTATGAATTCACTGGTGGGGTAATATTCACGTAGCAATCCCTCTATACATGCAAATATTGTCTGGCTTAACATCTGATAAACCATGAAAGGAATTTTTAGCCAAAAGACCCGTAATTTCTTTTCTAACGATCCATACAAATAAATATCGACACAACTAATTTGTAGGATTTCTCTACAACCACGAACGTACGTAGAGGATTTATAAGGACTAAGGAGTACAAATGCAAGTAAATAGAAATTTTAAATTTATATATACCTGGTACCCTCCCGTCAGGTGAATGACAACGCAAGCGTTGGCCAACCGAATCGGCCAATTAAGCTTCATGGAACCAAATTCAGCAAGAATGTTCCCTTTTGTGTCTTTCCCAAAGGCCACAAATCCAAAACATAAAGAAAGAAGGTAGCAAAATGTGGTGAAGCTAAGGAGGATTGCTGATGCTCTCTTCATTCTGAAGTCCTCATATCCTTTACTCAAACAAGGCAACCAAGTTTCAAATCAAGCTCCTATTTATGAAGTTTTGGAATCATCAATGCCTATTTTAGTTTCTAAATTGCAAGCATTTACATGTATCTCGAATAGAATTGTGGTGACTGGATAAGCAAATAGTATGTACCCAAGTCCTTGAGCAATCAGCCACACTTTTGGGGTTAAGTGGAGAAGTAGCTCACTTTGGAAACTCGTCTAAGGTTTCAATTGGAGATAAATGTGAGATCTTTTTGGTAAATAATCTATCTTGTCTCAGTTTGGATCTGTTCTTCAGTTTGTTCCGCACTGGTTGTTATTATTTTTTTCTGTTAAAATTTTTAGAATTTATCCGTTGTGTTATCGATACTATTACGTATCATTTTAAATAATATGTTGTATTATTATTATTATTATGTATTATTTCGTATAATATGTTATATTATTAATTACGTATTATTTGTATAATTTGTTGTATTATTTTTATTGTTGCATATTATCGGTTGTATTAGTACAACTGGTACGTTTTATTGTGTAGATAATTCTTCCATAATTATTTGTTTTTAAATGTAAGTAATTATATTTTTTATTAATTATTTTTGTTTAATTGTATAATTTATTATATTATTTCTATTGTTACATATTATCGGTTGTATTAGTACAACTGGTACGTTTTATTGTATAGATAATTTTCCCATAATTATTTGATAAATGTAAGTAATTATATTTTTTTATTTATTATTCTTATTTAATTGTATTATTTGTTGTATTATTACTACTGTTGTATATTATCTGTCGTATTAGTATAACTGGTACGTTTTAATGTGTAAATAATTTTTACATAATTATTGAATTTATTTCATAATTAATATTATATTTAATTATTTTTCAAAGCCCTGATTATATATATGTATATATAATCATCCTTCTCTCTCTCTTCCTCTCTTTTCTTCGCTGCCTTTTCTTTCCTCACCCGCTAGCTCGCTGCTCTCCCCTCTCTCTCCGCTACCATTGCGCCGTCAAACACAGCCTCGGGCCATCACTCCTCCCCCCTCTCCACTCAACCCCACTCCTCCTCCACTTCATCTTCTTATCGCGCTCGCCGACCCTACCGACGCGTGCAGCCCACCCCGACCTCCTCCTTCTCGTCGCCTTCCCTCCCAAGATTCCGCCCCATGGCCAACCCTGCCACCAATGCCCGCACACGCCCTCCACCTCCTCACGCTTGCCGCGCCTCCAGCCCAACATCGATGTTTCCACCACCCCTGACAGCCGTCATCACCCGCGCGACCACCACCATCTCCAGCCCTCTAACTGCTACCGCGAACCCCTCAAATGCCGCCTCGTCTCCCCCTCAGATCCGACCGCCCCCTCTACCTGCTGCTCCTCTCTGTCCACTACCTTCTTCTCTCCTCTGGCGACTCCGAACAACGAAGACGAGTCGCTTCACTACAGAAAATTGCAGTTTGGAGCCGTCTTTGCCCACGTTTTTCGGCCACCTCCGGTCTCCGTTTTCGTCAGCGTCTTCTTCGGTGTGTAGCCCTTTATATTGTCTATCACATAGTATCTTCCTGTCACTTGGTCTCATTTTCTACCTCTCATTATATCACTTCGAATATCGTTAATCGCTACTAACACATCCCTTTTTGTATTCTATCACACGATTGACTTTCCGACGAGCCGCGAAACCTGTTTTGACCCGTACAACCACCCGACGACCCCCACTTCCCTCTACGACATCCTCGACAATATTCCTGAGGCAAGATCCCTCTTGCTCATTGACTTGTCATTTCAATATTTATATTTGTTATTATTGATTACATAGATTAGTTTGTGATATAATTATCTGCGTGGGATTGTTTGATGAAGAATATTAAATATATCATAGTAATATGATAAATAGCATTTTTAGAATAATTATAATGAATTAAAAGAATTTAGTTCGGTAAAAGAATTATTTTTAGATAATTATAATAATTTAGAGGAATTTATTTTGGAAAATAAAGTATTTTAGAGTAATTGTTAAGAGAAATAATTTAAAATGAATTTATTTAGAAAAAGATTATTTTCTGAATTATATAGACGTTGTTTATGATTTATAATTCTTAATTTTGATTATCTGATATGTCATGATATTATTACACATGATTAGTTGCATTGATTGTTCATTGTGATTGAGAATCGTTAGGAATTTATGACTATAGTGATATGTGTAACATGAATAAGACCTAGAGGCTTGTGTGTTGTTGACTTAGAAATACAAGAGATGTTAGGGTGGAAAAGTCTCTGTTCATGTAATCGGATAAGGTTGTTGATATGTTTTTCAGGCTCGCACCAGTGGATCGGTGTCGGTATTAGGGTTGGTTTGTTGAGTAAAAGTGGATCGGTGTCGCTACTTTGGTCCGTGAATTTGATATTCACCCGAGTTTTGCTTGAGTCCGAACCAGGTTGAAAACGGATTACGTGTAGTCCTCTGGCCAAATTTGTGTAGCGGTATTGGATGCACGTAGGGGATTTGTGAACAGTCAGTTATCTGATGATATGAACGTTGACTATGTGTGAGATGTGGACCAGTAACCTGTTATAGAATGACTAGTTACATGATCTTGTTACTTAAGGTGAGTATGAATTCTTATGAGATATAGGCCAGTTGTATTTCTTTTCATACATAGATCGGGATTAATATTTAATTATTTACAATTTGAGACATATGGTATATACATGAGGGTTTCCTTATTTAGATTATTTCACTTGACGTACTACGTCTCTTGTTGTAGATTTTTAAGTATTAATTTTATCTAGTTGTATGACCTTATTACTTGGATGATTTCTGATCGCTAGCTGCATGATCAACTTGTTACTTGATTGATTTTGTTGCAGCAGGAGTGTCTTGCAGACGGAGCAGAAGAATAAGTTGAAGCTTAGCTATTTCCTTAGTTATTTGAGGGTCCTTGTTTTATTTTTGCAATACTTCCTTTCTATTCCTATTGAGCAATGTGTTTTCATTTTTTTTAGTACCTATTTGGACTGTTTTGTAATAAGGGCATGTTTGACCCAAACTCTGTGTCTTGGATGATATTCTATTTGTGATATGTCTCTTTTTTATTTTGAGTTGTTTATATATTCTTGCTATGTGTGATCGCGGATCTGTGACTTCATATTGTATATTGCTTGATGCTTAGCATATTAGGTTGAGAAGAAAACTTTATTTTTATTTATTCTCCTCAATCTAATACGTCGCAGGCTTGTTCACGTTCTGATTCCCTAGTATTTTGGGAAACGGGGCATGACAAGAGGTATTGACGCTCAAGAGGGAAGAATCCAAACCGAAATTGGAAGTCGCTGTCTAGAGTAGGATATTCTACAGTTGGTAAAAATCAGTGTGTTTGGTGTAAAGAGACTGGTCATTTGAAGAAAGATTGTCTAAAGCTCTTCAAATGGATGAAGAACAAGCAGAAGGGAAAGTGGAAACAACTATCATAAGAAGCAAACATCACTGTATCGGATGGTAATAATTCTGATTCATCTGCTTTTTCACTTTCTGTTAATCCCTCAGTTTGTTATTCGGAAGAATCCGAGTGGATGTTGGATAGTGGTGTAACCTATCATATGTGCCCTAAAAGGGAATAGTTTACCAATTTTGAGAAGCTGGATAGTGGTGTGGTTTACATGGGTGATAAACGTGCATGCCAAATCCTTAGGATATGTAGAATTCACATCAAGATGTATGATGGGACGAATAGGGAGATACATGGTGTGAGATATGTTCCATCTTTAAGAAAGAACTTGATCTCGATTGGAGCTTTAGTTGCTGAGGTTCTGAAAGTTCGTATTGAGGACATGGTCCTTGAGATTGTGAGAGGCTCTCGGATTTTGATGAAGGGCGTCAGGAGAAATAATCTGTACTACTTGACTGGAAGTACAGTGACATGTGGAGAGCTGGCGATTTCTATTGATTCGACTAGACTGTGGCATTTGAGGCTGAGTCATTCCAGTATTGATTTGGAGAAAGGTGCATTGACCTGCGATTTAAAGTCCCGTGAACACTGTATTGTGAGCAAGAAGACCAGGGTGAAGTTTGGCACCTCTATTCACTGTTCTGAGGCTCTTTTCGATGGTGTTCATGTGGATGTTTGGGGGTCTTCCAATGAGGTATCATTGGGAGGTAATAGATATTTGGTTTCCTTTGTTGATGACTGTTCTAGGCATGTTTGGGTTGCAACCAGGTCCCGTTTGAATAAAGTCCTAGTAGTCTACAACAAGTTGAAGAAGTGTAAGACATGCAGAAGGATGAATGTACTCCGTTCTAATATTGGTGGGAGGTACAAGATGGATCTGTTTCTGTATTTGTGCTGAGCTCAAGGCAATTGAAGATACTTCGATGGAAAGGAAATCTTGGGGCAACTAGATGGGAAGGAAAATTTTGAGAAATCGTGTCTTGCTGGAGAAGGAATGGTGTTTGTGGCCAAGCAAGGGTTTGCAGAAGAGTTTCTGGACTGAGGTTTTGACATTTTCGAGTCATTCTATTAAAAGGTTGTCAACTGTTGTGATAGGAGGTAAAACTTCATTAGATGATTGGTCTGGTAATGTCACTTTGGATGAAGCTTCGATGAGGGAGTCTATTGACTCTCAACAGGTAGAGAGTTTTGGGCAAACCATGGCAGTGGGTGGAGTGTGATGTTACTTCATATTGGGTGGAGATTATTCCACGTTCTCCAGATCATTCTGTATTATTTAGGATTCAAACTAGCATGACACATATTCGGGATCATATTGTTGATGGTGATACATATGATGAGTTTGAGGATCAGGGACTGGAGGTTCAGGATCATGTTTCGAGTGCAGCGGGTGTTATCAGCTGCAAATTTGTTAGTGTTGATGATCGAGATGTTGGTGAAGGATTAAGAATTCTTCTAGTTAATTGAGGTCGTTTGCGGTCATTTGGATGAACTACGTCAGGCTTGATTCTTTTGGTAAAAGACTACGTAGGCAGTCAGTTTTGATGCAGCCGATTTGATGGATAAAAGAATACGTATGCAGTTAGTTCTGATGTAGCCAATTTGATGGGTTGATACCGAGGTTTTGGAGTTTGTTCGCATTCTCATTTGGGTTTCCGACTTGTTGTGGATTGAGTCTGTTGTCGTGGATTGTTTTCACTTCGTCCTGGACGCAACAAGTGGGACGTTGATTTGGTTAGTGTCGGCTCAGTTTTGGGAAAATTTCGCCGAGGTTGAGAATTGAAGAACCGAGGTGGAGAATTGAAGAAAACGCGAAGAAATGGAAAAATTATGCAGGAACGTTGTCATGAGTCGACTCATGAAGTGTTTTGGAATCATCAATTTGTTTCTGCTGAGTCGACTTGTGTGAGTCGGCTTATATGAGTTGACTTATAAGTCGTCGACTTACGTTGTGATAAGTCAACTTATGTCGGGTTTCTTGGGCAATTTTGGTTTCCTATTTCGGTTTAGGTTGTTGTTTGATATAAATAGAAACACGGTTTTAGGGTTTTCTTGATCGAAAAGTCATCGATTTGGAGGCTTGTTTTTGAGAGATGGGAGAGAGTTTTGAGAGATCTTGATCTTTATTTTGCAGGGGTTAATTGAGAACCCTAATTTGTAATCTCTTCTTCTCTATAGTAAAGGAATCCTCATTGTTTGTCCCGTGGACGTAGACAATTTGTCGAACCACGTTAAATCTCCTGTTTGAGTTTGTGCTATTATATTTTGTTCTTGTGTGCCTTCTCTCTCGGCAACTCTGTGGATCGCAGCCGCGCACAACAAGTTTCAAGAGTCCCAACATTTCTCTTATAATTAAAATTGAAATAATTCACCTCTCAATCAATTGCCAAAGGGATAATCAAAATGAGACCCCACAACAGGAAACATCAAGCCTGGCTGCTGAAAACCCGAGCTCGAACTAGATTCAAGAATCTGATGGGAGAGAACAAAATTCTCACTCCTCTGCCTTTTATTCGGGTACTCAATTCTTTGGACTCCTAAAGGGGGAATCATTGCGTCCGCTGGAGTCTGGAGTTAATGGCTCATGTTGAGAGGCGACAGATTCATTGTGCAAGTGTCCATTAAAGAGCTCATGGTCTTCAGAAATTTTGCAATTAACAAATTAATTTGTAAGATTTCGTCCTATAGCAGATGATATCCTTTAAAGCCGTGACATTAACAGGAGAGGAAAACGATTGTCTTGATTGTCGAACGGATATCCCTTTTGAACTCTAAGATAGCAGTTATAGAGTAAAATCCAAGTCATTGCCATTTAATATTCTATTGTTTGTCCCAAGTGAAATAAAATTTGCTTATTAAATAAGAATATTCAGGTTGAGCTAAATAATTAGAGCTATGATTTATGGTTTTGAGTTTATAGGTCATTAGGTGTTTTTCTGAAGGTCAGGGCACTCATCATGTAACTAAATTATAGGCTACTAAGCATAATAAGAGGGGGGAAAATTTCCTTGCACGAATGCTAAATTCGTTCAACCAGAAGGAGAGGAATTCCCAGCTAATGCAAAATCAACTTATCAAGGTCACATACCAACTATGTTTATGTCCAAGAATTCAGCAGAATATGCAGAAGAATAAAGATCATGTTAAGTTAATGCTTGCCTCTAATTGTTCGTGTCACCGCTTTTGCACCTCCATCTGCAACTTTAAAGCTTCTGTTATTTGCATCCCCCTGGCCAAAAAAAATGAAGGATGTTACTGATCACATAGTCATCACTTCAACTCAGATAAGAGTCAATGGTAACGAAGTACAACGAAACATTACGATATAAGAATTAGAGATGCAAATTAACCGATTTCAATATAAACAGATCTGAAAGTATTTCTCCGTTATCTGATGGAATCTTATACATCTTTTATTATTTAAAAATTTTGTGATCACAATCTATATACTTCTCACTTTCGTACTTGTATCTAATGAACACGACCTCTTATTTCCTAACTGCGGTTGCTATCAGCTAACTTGTGGCAGCCAGCAGTTGCACATTAAACCTACACAAGTTACTTGAGCTGCACACAAGAAAAAAATGATCCATGAATAAGATTAACATTATACTCAAGTTGTTGTTAAATTAAGGTATCCTTCTGCTAAATATAAGTCTTCATAATTCTTCAACAAAAGTGAATTTACCATCAGATGTAGGGTCTGGGGGATAATTTGCAAGCCGGTATTTAAATCTAAACAAAACAAAACATGAGATCGATCAGGTAAAAGCATAAATAAATTAGAAAGAGGGAAAACATGATAGAAAGAACATTCATACCCTTAGACACTTGTTTCCCCAGAATTCTAATGTATCTACACCTATCAAAGTTTATGATGCACTTGCAATTTTTTTAAGCCCTTGATGCGAAAAACTCGAGCATAAAGCTTAAGCATTCGATTGAGAGTAGGACTTAAAATTTTCCCGAGTTTCTGTGGATGAGGGTGAACACTACTTGAATATGACCATAAACTAGCAAATAAAGTAGTTGATGGAGAACAAAACTACGATCACATGTTTTAGTAGTGACTTCGCCGAGCACCCAGAGGCCAAGATGAGAGAAAATCCGAAGATCTCTTGCCACAATAGTTGATGGTGTTGAGAGGATATTTAATAAGTTTGAGACGTTATGCTGAGGAGGGTGATGTGTAGAATTTTATTTCTTTTTTTTTCCCTCCCCTTTTACTTTTTTTTTTTTTGGTTCTTAATTGGGTTTATAAGGTGTAAAGTTTACAAATAAAATAAGGTTGCAAATACTTATACATTTGTTTATATCTACCACATTTCTTATTTGGCGACCAAAAGAAGAACTTTCAAATTGTAACTAATCAGGATTATCCGCTTATATTCCGAACATTCATGGTCCCAAGTATAATAACCATCATCATAAATCCTGTTAAATAATTACACACTCGTTTCTAATTCTGAAAAAAAAAATAGTCCGTCATTATCAATAGTTAGTTGCACATAAACCCTCTATACTAATTGGGTCTTGTCACATACTACCCTTTAAGTTTGATATGACAAATATGTCATTAGAGATATATGGCAGGTATATAGACTCCCTGTACCATTGTACCATTGCACATCTGCGTCTCCATTCCCACAGTCTAATTGAGCTATGTTGCAAACCTAGTCGGAAACAGCATATCATCAAACAAAGGGGAGGTGCGGAGGGCGAACGACATTCAGTTAAAGATTCAAATGGTCAATCTATCAATATCAAACTTATAAGAGATAACAAGTGACATCACGCGACAACACAAAAGGTTAGTGTGTTGTTAGAACATAAAATATTATCCTCAATATTCACAATTTTCAGACTTTTAGTGTAGTAACATGAACTTTTAAGATGGTATCAGAGCATCTCATGTCGAATCTTGCCCACGATTTTCTGAAGCAGATTAAATAAATGAGGCCGCTCATGAGTCCATATCGAGGTCCATGAAAGGGCTCTTGAACTACTGGGACACGATAGAGTGTAAATTTATTTTTCAAGTCAATGTTGGGGTAACTTTATTACTTTCAGCAGAGAGAAAAGGCACAATTCCAAGAAACCTTTACTAGCTAGGACCTACAACTCGGCAGTGCTTGAAATCAAGTGGGTGCTCAAAAAGAGATAGAAAAAAGGAGCAGCAGAACAACCAGCGTCAGCTCCTGAGTCCACTATTTTCTCCTTTTCTGTTCCGTCAATTTTCCCGAAACTCATTGAAGACGGTTTTTTCTGTACCCTACTGTCGCTACATTCTTATTCATGAATTTCTGTACCCTCCTAAGAAACTTCACCGTATCAGCTGCAAGGAAACCAAACGTATCGAAAGCAAACGAGATGAAGTTGTGGTGGTTGTCCTTACAAACTTGATCATGAATTTTTTATTAGTTTTTTTCCTTTCTCCCCACCTCTACTTCACCGCGGTACAACGCGGTGAACAAACATCTTTGAAGAAAACGGCTACTTGACCTAAATAATATTCCTTCCTCTTTCATCCAACGCGCCCCGCGTGTCTCGGGAATATCAAATCTTTTCCATATATAAAATCAAAAAAAAAAAGAAAAAAACATCTCAAAATCTCCAGCTATTACGCGCACCGCAACCCTCTATATATCTCCCTCTCCATATCAATCCACACCCAATATTTTTTCAATCTCAATACTTTTCATGACCTACTCTTCCTCCTCTTTCACCCTATAAACTCGATCTCTTTTTCTACAAAATCTACACCGATTTCTGTGGTGGAGAATACCTTGAATCCGTATGCACCAACATCTTTCTCGTCTATCGTGTCGTGGAGAGGATCTGAATCCATTTTTTTTGGGGACAAAATTTACATTAATATTTTACTCGGTTATATTTCGCCGCCTGTTGATAGTGGAGATGATCTGAATCCATTTTATGTCATGGGTTGTTGTTTCTCCTTCTCTACCAGCAAAGCCGCCGCCTCTCCTCCCACCACCGCGATCGTCATCGCAACCGATGGCTCCCTCACCGAACACTCCGTCCCCGTGACGGCCTCCAAAGCCCTCGGCATCGACCATCTGACACGCTTTCTGTGCAACTCCGACTCTCTCTCCTTCGAAAACTCCGTACCCCCACTGAACCCCCACGATCTCCTCGAAGAGGATCAAATATACTTCGCTCTGCCCAAAAGCAAGCTCGGGTGTCCTCTAACGGGCGAGGACATGGCGGCTTTGGCCGTTAAGGCGAGCGCGGCGATGGCGCTGGCTTCGAGGAGGAGCGGCAGGAAGAGGCGGGAAATCAGGGTCTCGCCCGCGCCGGTGGCGAACGAGGCGACGGCGGCGAGGATGGCGAGGCAGAGGTCGGTGAAGGAGAAGATTGGGAGGAGGAGGAGTGCTTCGATGTGGGCGAAGGCGGTTAGGAGGTCGCTCCGACGAACTCTGAGTACGGTTGAGGAGGGTGATGAATGAATATTGAAGACATCCACTAATTTTAGCTGTAGGGTTTAGTTTGTGAACTCTTTTTCATTTTATTTTATTTTATTTTATTGGAGGGGTTATGGGTTTAATCCTGTACTTTGTAAATATGATGTGAGGATTAGTGAAGTTTTTAGTTAATGAGTCAGAGGTGAGGTCTGAAATGATTAGCCTAGTTAATCAATTGGAATAGAGAATGGTTAATTTTCTAAAAACTTTATATCAAAATGTGTTAGGGGCTGTTTGTTTGCTAAAAAAATGAGGAAAACCGACCCCTCCACGTCAGATTTTAAATCACATGTTTGTTTTGTTTTGTGATTTAAAGAAATGATGGTACCACGTAGGATGTCATGTCAGATTTTTGAGAAAAATGTTTTCACACCAAAAACCTCTGAAAATACTTGGAAATATCTCTTCAATGAATTTGTAATTACTAAAAGCACTGTTGAAACAGTGACGGTGAATAAAAACATATTATTTAATTGCTAAAAATAATATTACTATTGCAGTTGGTTTACATTTCCTATTTTTATGTTCAAACAAACACAAGAAATGGAAATCGAAACACTGTTACTATTGCGGCTGGATTTGTTTCTTATGTGACGTGGCGGTGACGTGACGGTGATTTCATTGCGAAACAAAAAAAATACGGGAAATATCTTGAAATCTCTTGAAATGAGTTGAAATGTGAGTTTTCCATTTTCGATTTTTTCATAAAACAACCAAACAGCCCCTTAAAGTCAATCTAAAAATAAAATAAAATAATAGAGGGTTGATTTCTTAGCAGTGTCACAGGAGGTACCCCTCTCATTTTTTATGCTTAGAAAATTAAGATGGAATTAGAGTCTATTTTTGGCGATAATTAAGAAGGGATAACTCTCTTTGAACCCCTTCATTATTTAATAAGAGCACTTTTAAATCTCTTTATTTGATTAAAAATTCCGGGTCCAAATAGACCAATTTTATCATTCATTCCCATCTTATACATTCACTATTTTAAAGACTCGGATACTTTTGGAGAGATGTGAAGTCAACTCCTCCTTATCTAAATTTGATTTTTGACGGCGTGTTTTCATAATTGACTCCATTAAATTTTCATTTTTGATCTTTCTTCACTTGAATATCGGAATTTAACGGAAAAAGATTTCCCTAGTTGGAGTATTGTCTCGTACAGTTGTTAGCTAGTAATAATGTCCCTCACGGTTGAGTAGCTTTTTCTTGACAGGGAGTACCGGGACCCAGTTGGGTTGAAAACTTCGGCCGTTTCCCTGTTGACCCGGGTATTACCAGTTTACAGTCAGGTTTGAATATTAATGTATTGATGCCAACTTTAAAAAAAAAATGTAGAACTAGTGGATGACCATCAATCTCGTGCTTCATTATTATGAATTTAACAAAATAGTTCTAAGTTTTACAAGTAAATCTATAAAAGTAAACAGCAACATAGTGTGTTTGGATGGGAGTAGCTGAAGTGTGTTAGTCCAGCTATATTCAAATTTCGACATACATTATAACTCTGATGTTATTGAAACACCAAAAAAGTTATCGGGAATTCAGAATAAGCTAAAAGTAAGGGAGTTAATAATAATAATAATAATAATATGCCCGGGGATTCCGTCATTAACTTAATAATAATAATAAGTTGAAAATTGCCAGCTACTTTTTAACCAAACACACAACACCAAAATCTAGCTCGCTTTACAATGACCATCTCACAAAAAGAACCTAAAGAAAATAGAAATGGTTATTTTCTAATTCTAGTAGAATGAGCAGATAAAAATGAGTATCATTTGCACTGGCTGAGGATTCTTGTCCATAATTAAACGGGGGGGGGGGGGAGGGGGGGGGGGGGGGGGGGGATCTGAATTCTGGTGGGGAATAAATGAGGACTTTTCGCCAAAGACGGTGGAGAATAATGGTCCAAATTTCAACTAAAATTGACAATGAAATCTTTTTTCTTTAATTGAATTTATAAGCGCACAAAATGAGAGGTGAAGGGAGTACATGAGGTAGTCCCAAACTGGGGTCGGTGGTCAAGCGCGTAGTCCCGCGTTGGTCGCGGGAAAAAAGAAAATCTTCATCCGCCATCAGCTTCCATAAGGCCGACCTTTGAACGTGAACAAGTTCCGTCGGTCTATATTTCTATATATTTTTTACTTGATGCGACAACATGTGTTCTTTTATCAGTTATAAGCAATTGCAATCATCATGAAGTGTCCACAAACTACTAGTTCAATCGTTATCAGTACAATCAGAATACAATATCAGTGCAACTAACAGCAGCTACCGTCGGTACAATCTAATATCGGATCACTACAATCACCCATATCGAGCCAATATAATTAAACAAATACAACACAGAAGTAAAATAAATTGCAGATTGATTAGAATTATCCACTTAAAGAAGCATAGCTCTTATAGCAAAAGAACTAATCGTTGACAAGTTAGAGTTAGCTAATTAAAAGTCTGAATTAGATACTAGCCTCGTGATTTCATCTCAATGCATCATTTCTTCGTTGCAAAATATTAACGTAGAGCTGATGAGGCTACTTCACAAGAACTACAATGCCTTTGATAGATGCACCAAACATAAGCCGTACAACATGAAACTGAGAGAACGCATATTTCTGATGCTTGTCATCCTTGAGTACAGGTTCATTTGAAGCATAAACCAATTAATTGGTCATTAAACAAATATGAAGCTAATAAACGACCACATTTTTTCCATTATAAACTAAATTTTTATGTTTGTATACAAGATCATTACTACAAATACAATTTCTAACCTCTTCTACCTGTACAACACACCTTCAATTTAACTCCTTAACCAGCCATATCCACCTGCTACCAACAAAAACGTAGCATTTCTCTTCACCTACATAGCATACAACTTTAGCTCATATGAATAGAGTTAACTCTAAATAGTAAGTAATCATGCAGAAAGGCGGCCGTTAGAATTTTCTTTTGTTGGTCTCTCATCCTGAATCTCCTCTAACTCTTCTTCATCTGCTCTCTTCCCTGCTTGCTCTTTCCAATAAGCTACCAATTTCTTTAGACGCGCAACTTCTTTAGTGGATACGTTTTTACTGGGATCATTTACAATACAACGGACCCTCGATGCATACCTACAATTTTAAAAACAGCATTGTTTAGTCCAAATTAAAAAGTAACGGAAAATAATACACTGAAAAGCGATTCTAGATTTGGAAATTTCATTCCAAGCGCATAAAGTGGATAACATGATGACGAGTGTTTCATAACTTCCTTGTTAGTTCTTGGAAATGATACTTAAAAGCAATAATGCGATTTACAAGAGAAAATTTTGAAGATAAATGCAAGATTCTTTGACAAATATTTGGTGCTTTACAATATGATGCATTAAGATACTCGTTCAGATATAGATCAAAGCAATGTACTGTTTACTGAAGCAGAAAAGGATCCGTAGTTACTTAATGCCTAAATAAAGTATTCCAATAACTTGAGCAACTAAAAGCCCAAATATGACACGAGTACGTGAAAGGAGAACTTACATCAGAGAGTTGTATGTTTCGTCCAAATTTGACTCTGCTGGAGATAAATTGACAAACATTAAAGTTTTTGCATTGCCCCCGAGAGAATCACTCATAAGCATGGTGAGTTTATGATTTCGGTAAGGTATATGTTGTCCATCAGAAGACAAAGCACTGATCACATCTACAAGGGCTGAAAGTGATTTGTTAATGCTTTGTGCTTCTTTTAGCTGATTGCCAGAAGAGCCTGATTTTTTTATCCTTTCCGAACCAGCAAGATCTACAAAACTAAGCTGCAAAAATTACATGAAGACCGTTAGAACTAATATTGATTAATGAATTTACAATGAACATCTTAACATTGACTAATACACATAAAGATGTGCAATCATTGACTATAGAGCTAAGAAACAACTGAATCAAAGAATAACTAGCTTGTAGCCAGGTTGCAGTTTAAATTATATTATCAGATGAAGAATGTGTCTTAATCAATACAAATTCAAGTTCAAGCTCATCTAAGTGAAAACTGAAAACCAAATGTAATCCATATAAATGATTGATTGTGGTCTATATGTCGTGATTGGAGAAGTTTTCATGAAACGAAGAATAAATAAACATTTGAGGAAAATTACATGTACCTTCCCATGCAAGTTGTTTTGCTGCAAATCAATACTATACTAATAAAGTAAATACCTGGTTGCATGCTTTTGCCACTTGGCAAATTCTAAGGGCTCTAATATGTAATAATTAATAATCTTTTTTCACCATCTCATCTTAATCCTCTATTCTCTACATCTTGGAAATCCATATTCTTAATCTTTCAATTTCCTATAAATCATTCATTTTGTTCTCTATTTCCAAAAAATCTTATCTTTATCCTCTCTTTTTACCCAAAAGTCTAATACACATAAGAATATTAATTTAATCCTGTGCATCGCACGGGTAACAACTAATGCTTCTGAAAAGCAATTTCTTTCGCAAAAGACTTGACAATGAAAAGAATAGCCCATTGAAAAGTAAAACTTGAGAACACATATAGAGCTTCGTTATCTGAATGAATGCACTATAAAGTTATAAATCAAAGTATGCGACTTGAAAATAGAAAACAACTACCATCCTTCATATGTTTATTTATGCAAGAAGAATGTTGTTTTGACCTATGACAACTGTGTACATATATTATTCTTCTCCCTTTATATTATGAGAAGTTTGGACTAAAAATAAAATGATGCGCAAATAACAATAGTTATTCAATGTCAAAACCACTACATGTTACCTTTCCCTTGGCAAGAGATTGAGTTTGAAGATTGGTGCTTTCAATGATAATTGAAAAAATCAAGTGTGATCTCGAGCTTTCTTCATTCATATGGGTACCAGCAATATGTCGCTGCTCTGATCCTCTCATGATAATAGCTCGTAATTCTTCATAACTTGAAATTTGGACAGTAGTCACATTCTCTATTGAGACCATCCCCTGACAATAAAGAAATAACAAGTGCAAATTAAACATGACTTTGAGATAAATTGAGATAAGCTAAAGCTCTTGAAAATTAAAATTCTCTATGAATATTTTAGCAGTTTTCTTAGTAGCTCAACCTTTCATTGAGTGCTATCATGCAAATATTTGGCTCAGGATGCAGTAACAGCTTCACTTCTCACACATAACAAGGTAACTCATTATCTTTAATCAGAATGTAACAATACTTATCATGCATTTCAGTGACCTACAGCAATCAGATATTCTACCCTTGCTTGGAGTCATGGGTCAGAATTTCCCAAGATCAAGCTGCACAGATGGTCTTTAGACTAAATATTGAATTGAGGCTAAGAAAACAAAGATTTCCGGACATAGAAAGAAATTTCATCTTCGATGTCTTGAACCCAGTTCACAGCTATCTTTCAGATAAATAATTTACTAGTTTACAAGAAATATCATCGGTGTTCCAAAAGATGTGTGGGTAGTTCATAACCAACACTCAGCTAGCATGATCACAGGTAAGGGTTGCTAAAAGTACGATTTTGTGTTAAAGGTGTGTTAAGGTGCGGCAACCTTCAAAGAGGAAATTCCGGAATTTAACGGCTCAGACTCAGAAAAAATTACTTCAGTGAACAAATGGAATAATCTTATCTATACTAATCTATGAAGAATATTGTGAGGGCATAGAAAAGTGAAGGATTAGGCAATTGTTCTTTCAAGTTGGTGAAGGATCTGAGGTCATTTCAATGAAAGACATGGATACTTTAGTCATTTTGTGCATTGCCTCTGCCTCCCCCCCCAACAAACCCCACACCCCCACCCCCATCTCTGTTGGGTCCAGAGACTTTCGTCTGGTGGACCTCAGAGTCACGTGTCAAAGATGACACGAAAGCAAGATTAAAAAAAAGCTTCTTATATCTAAAACCCTGAATTTCCTTTAATTTAATGCTAACTTTTCAAATCTGATATTTTAAAATTAGTAACTTAAATTGATAACATTTCTCCTAATAAGAACTTGGTTACTCCCGTTTAGACCGTCAAATTAAAGAAATCTTTAATTAGAATCAGAGCATTCTATTAAAAACTTAGAACCAGATCAATAATAAATGGCTTAAAGGATTGGCTTGGTTCAACTTAAAAATACAATATTCCAAGCAATAAAAGCAAGATGCAATTAATTTGAATTTTTTGTAATGAATCCAATAGAACTTACAAAAAGAGATCCAATGGAAGTACACTTAGGATCTTTTCTTACTGAGCATTTCCCTTTTCTATCGCATGCATTATGCACGTGTCATATACTAGTGACATATAGGTTAAAATGAGCAAATGAAATAGTGAGAAAATGAGGAATTAAAAACATAATGCTGATGATGCAAAAATAAATACAAATAAAGGGTATATTACTGCTGCACAGTGATTCCAGGTTAAGAGTATGTTACCTTAGAATCCTTTTTTATTTCTAGCTTTAAGCGTTTTGCATTTTTTGGTAGCAAGAGATCCACAAGATTATCTTGGTACAGTTCTACCATATACGCCTGCAATATAAAGCAATATATTCCAATTGTCAGATTAAAACAGCAGTACAAGAATCAGACTAGAAGGCAACTATACCTCAATTCAATAATACAGGAAGAGGCTCTGCATAATCTCAAGGGTACTAAAAAATGCTTATTGACTATAGCAGTAAGATAACTAAAAGAAACTATACCAACTTTCGATAATAAAATAACACCTGTAAATTTTTTTAGAGAAATCACAATGAAGTTCCCATCATAAAAATAAAATAATACCTTTAAAGCAAATGAGTACTTGCTATTATCTCGCTTCATCACTTTGAATAATTCAGCAGTTGCTTTTGGGGTAAGACCAGGATTATTTTCTGAACCATAAATTGTGAAAGTCTTCCCAGAGCCAGTTTGTCCATACGCAAATATACATACATTGTACCCATCTATTGCTGATTGTATTAAATACTATACGACAATAAAGAAGAAGTTAAAGACTTTTAGTACATAAAACATTTAACTAAAATTATATAAGTTCCAAAATTTTGGAAGGATAAACTTTAAAATTACCTTTGTGTCCTCAAATACTTCATCTTGAGAAGCCGTTTGTTCAAAAACTCGATCATAAGTATGCTGCTTTAACTTGTCATCTTTCCACGGATGTCCCACAGTAAACTCATCCACACTAGAAACTACATTCTTCTCCCTTTCAACAATCTCCTTTTCATTCAATGGACGTAAACGACAATAAACTCTAATTTTTCCTTTCATATCTGTAAATTCACGAGTTAGATGTTAGACACAATAAGAGTTATTAATATATCATTACAATTGATATATCATTACATGACTCTGAATATATGTTTATTCACAGATAATAAACAAAGATTTTTTGCAGACCTTCAACCATATTATAGTATCTCTTCCGCAAAACTTGTTCCTCTTTATAAAGTGCTTCAATTTCAACCAACTGTGTTGCTTGCCTTTTCAAAATTGCAGCTGTTTGTTCATTTTTCCTATCAATATCCTGACAAGAAGTTCAAACAAAATCAGTCATAAAAGCTTTTGAAACATCTAAATTTGGCCTTAAAAGAAAAATGGTGAAGTCAGAAACATAAGAATAACAAAATTCTACATCTCTGGCTCAGGCTTATATAAAAACATAAAAGTGATAATACCTCTTTCATTTCTCGCAATTCTTCTAACTCTTTCATATTTATTTGCAATGCATCAAGTTCCTCATCTCGCACTGCAAGGGTTGATTCAGCAACACTTAATGCTTGTGTAGCACATTCCAATCTTTTCTCCAATTCTGCAATACGCTGCTTTAGCATTTTGCGCTCATCCTCGAAATTCTTCTCTACAATGCTCTTCTGCAGTTTAAAGGCAGTCCAATGTAAATAAACTCCAACAGGTTCAGTTTAAATGATGCAAGTACGTGTGAAGGGATGTGTGCATGTGAGTTAAAAGAAACGTAGAAGACCTCATCATTTTTCTTTTTCTCAAGTCTTTGAATCTTTTGCTCAAGCAAGAACTTTTCCTTCGTTAGTGTCTTGGCAGTTTCTTTTGAAGCATCCAACTCATTTCTACATGTCTTCAAATCCTCTTGAAGTGTCTTAGTAGTTTCTTTCGACGCATGCAAGTCATTTCTAAACGCCTTCAATTCTTCTTGAAGCTTGCTGAGTGCCTGTTTCAGAAGTATAGGACCAAAACAAAATACCAATATATTAAATTCTATGTTCAAGTTCTCAACTTTAACAGAGGCAAAGTCTTTTATGTTTTGATTTTAGAAGTTCTTTCAAGTAAAAGCAAAGAATTTAACAAGAAACCTAAAGAGCCTTAATGGCACTTCCTTTTTCAAATCAAAAGAAAAATACCTGCGTACTATTTGATCCACTTCTTACGCTCCCCACAACCAAAACATCAGTTCCATTCCGATTACCAGATCCGACCAGATTCTCTTTCCTGGAACTACTCTCTAGTAGCATGTGCTCTTGGCTCAACTTTGCAAGTTTTGACTCAACACTTCTTTTATCCATTATTGCAGCCTGATAACATCATGATAATATAAGTGAAACTAGGGATGTATTAGGAAAGAACAGAACTACTAATTTACACCAATAAATAAATAAATAAATAAATATATGTATATATATATAAATATATATAT